GACAAGGTCTCCAACCTTGCAGCACCAGGCTCCGTCCACCTGTCACGCAAATTTTTGCGCTAGGACTTCGCCGTCCTACACAGATTTTTGTGCACTATTTTTACCTGTTAGAGTCTAGAATTTATAGGGTTTTTCTGTTACTTCTTAAATAAAATGGATATCAAGAGGGCATGAATGTGAATTTAACTGATTTAGAATTTATTCCAGGCTTTTATAGTTGAGTATTTGAAATTGAGTCAAATTTTTTCTCTATTTGTTATGCTTGGACACAGCATTGATATTGGCTTTAGTGAGGATGTTCAGCTTAATCCTCTATTTTATTTTTGTTTGTTTGTTTTATTCTTCAAAGAAGAGGCAAACTCATTGGATTCTGTGTTGGAGAGGAGTTCAGGAGGTTGAGTCACAGGAGGGTTTTTGATCCTGTCAGTTGTGAGCATTAATGTTTTAGTTTATGACTGCCGCAAAGAACGTTTCCCTTGCATGTTTTAGTGTTGAGTGTTCGCTACAGAGTCTTTCTTTGAAGATTTCCTAACAAACGTGAGGTCGAGTTTTATGCCATTCACATTCAGCCCTATGACAAAGGTTTCTAGCAGATCTATCTGTTTGTTCATGTCTCCATGAAGACTTGTTCCTGCCAGACATGACCTTCACTTTAACGGAAGTGTGAAATCAATGATATCTGAAATTGTAGAGTGGAAGTTATCTACTTAACTCATCTACAAGGTTGCAACATAGAGGCGAGGTGTCAGAGTAGATCAGATCTTATGTTTCTGCTGCGTTGTCTGTGGAAGAACATTTTGTAATAGTATTTGTTTTACTACGTGAGTCAACAGAGAAACTACTTTCAAAGAAAACAGAGAAAAGATCCGACAGGGCGACATCAGTTACAGAGACCTCAGAAATGTTCACTGATAACCAGCTCAGTAACTGTGTCATTGATTGTCTGTTGCTTGTTTGTCATGTTGAGACAGACCAAAGTTTTCAAGAATATCACGCAGCTTTTTTGCCCCTCTGTCTTCGAGCTTGTCAACACGTTTGTTGAAATCTCCCACAATTATTAAACAGTCATAATCAATGCACATAGAAGATAAGATGATTAGTCAGGATAGAAATGTTCTACATATTTTGAGGTTTTGGAAAGGGTTAATGTCAGAGTTTTTACCTCAATTCCCAGATGTTCAAAAGAGTCAAACTGGTCTTGAAATAACTTTTTACGGTTTAGTGAATCATGATATCTTGTAGTAACCCCTCTTCCTCTTTTGTGTTTGGTATTCTCACTTAAATTGAAATTAGGTACAAGTGATTCATTGTCATCTAACCATGTTTCTGTTCGCAACATAACATCAATATTCTGTTCAGTGTTAAATTCATTAATAGTCCTTTTGCTGATAGTGATGCTACAATTAGCTCAGTCAGTTTAAGTAACTTGGTGGCAAGTATTTCATGAATTAGACAGAGGATGAGACTGAGATTTGATTTTAGACTGCTGCATTTAGTATTTCTGTTTTTTGTTAATATTCTTTTCGTGATCCGGACAGGTACTGTCCTGTTTGGTACTGCTGGGGGACCATACGCATTCTAGAGGAAGGCAGGTGTAAAACTACAGCCTGGAGCCCGGCCTCAGACCTCTGATACAGAGAGTGGAGGTTGCTTGTAATCCCAGCCAGGTGGTTGTGATGAAGTAAAATCTGCTTTGTGAACACTAAGAAAAGAAGTGACCAGCAGGACTTAGTCGTTCATTTTAGTCATCAATTTAAAAATCTCAGGACCAGGAGAAGACGTTTCTTCTGAGGTGTCTTGGGACTCTAGTGAAGGGGACTCAAAGGGACCACATGAGGTACAACATGGGGGACCAGTCACTCCCATTTCAGTTGGTATTTTGAGCATTTGGATTTAAGGACAATCTGAGGACAATTTTATTTTGTGATTACAGCATTTTATTTGTGAATGCAGTGTACAGTGTATTGTTTGTGGGTGCAGCATGATTGGTTCGCATTTGTTTTGCTGACTGAAGGATTTTGCTTCTATTTTCTGTTATAGCAAAAAAAATTTGTTTGCAGCATTTTTTATTGCATTTGTTTGTTTCTTTTTTTGTTTATGTTTGTGCAGCATCTGATGGCTTGCATACATTTCTCCTGGAATCCCCAGTATTGTTACTAAAAAGAAAGCAAGTCATAATAAAGATAATTTTGAAGACATCCATTTAATGTACAGGTCAAAAATGTACATGAACATGAATTATATTCTTATATATTAATGGCTTTGCATAATGTCAGGCCAATTTCTGATTTAATTACATCTTCAATTACTATACACAGCATGCCAAGCAAAAAAAAAAAAAAACAAAAAAAACAACAACAACTATACAATGCAACAGGATGATATAATTACACAAAAACAGAAAAAAAAAGAAAAAAACAGAAGCATCCTGTTTTCAAGAATTCTAGTGGTATCTACTTTTTGTTAATAATTTCAAGCCTGTTAAATAATACAAGGGGATAAATTATAGTTGTCTGCTTATAAAGGATTTTGCTGTGAATTTTACTATAATTCAGATGCGACAGACATTTGTACCACTGATATTACACAAAGTTTGAACATAGAAAACAAGTAACATCATACACCAGTTTGTTCCTGTTTAAGCTTTTTTGTTGCTGATTTCTAATAGTTTTTTTGTGACTGTTATACTGTCACTTAAAACACTCTAAGCAACACATGAAAACCAAAACACCTACATTCATAATATTATATTAATGAATTAAGTCATTACTTAGTACTTGGTAATGTTACAAAGTAAGCATGTTAACTCCAACAGTTATTGGCATATATTCTGGAGTTTGTTGTCTTGATCAGGTTTGAACAGGAGTTACAGCAGACTGTAAGCTTCCCAAAGACCCGATCCAAAGATGTTCCTGTGTGTAACATGGGGAACATGGCAACAGAGGGCCCCAAGTCCATGATCAACATCTAGCAAACTTTGAAATACATCCCTGGTCCAACACACCTCCATCAAATGACTGAACTCCCTCATCAGCAGCCATTCAGCTCTGTAGAGGCCTGGTAATGAGCCACTGATTTGATTCAGGTGTGTTGGACATGGGACGTGTCTGAGAGCTGCAGGATGGTGGATCTCAAGAACTGAACTTGGGTATCTAGTGTGTTGGGTCCCGTCCAGCACATCTTTACTGAGAGACTGCTTGACTGTTAAATCATCCATCTTCCTATCCACCTCACATAGCAATTTTTAATGTAGGTCAAAAAATTTTATTTCATTCACATTAATCCATTTATTTGTTTTGTCTCCTACATGACTTTTTGGATAAATTAATCTTTGAGATTCCTTGTAACTGTCATCCATCTTGAAACTCTCCCATAGGAGCAAGGTTTGTTAACTGCATGGCAAATAGTAGACCTGTGAACAAATTGTGGATCTCTGCAGCTCATCCAGAGGTACCATGGGTCTCTTTTTCTGTTACTCTGATTATTGGTCTTCTTGTTGGCCTGTCAGTTTAAACTGATCTTTGTCTTGCTAGGGTTGCAGGTGTGCCACATTCCCTTTTCAGGTGATGGACTGAACAATTCTTTTTGACATGTTCAAAGCTTGGGAAATTATACAGAACTGTGCAAAAAAAACAGAAAACTGTCACTGGCTCGCCTAAGGTAAAGAGTGTCCTTTCAGCTTTACCAGAACAGAAATACCAA